GCCCTGCAACGGGCTGCGACGAGCGAGGGAAGGCCCGTCGAACACAACCCGTGGCTGAGGCATTCCCAACGAGTTGCTAATGATTTGATCGGACTCCATACCAGCGGCTTGCTGAGGAGGTTCTTCCGACTCCGGCGAGTCGTCCCAGAACCGACGTGGGTGCCAGAATGGATGAAGCCGGCTGTCGATATCTCTGCCAGCTTTGCGATTTTTCGCTGAGGTTATGGACAGCGATCGGACGAAACGATCAAACGAATCCGATCGAGGGCGAACCACCCGTCTGCGTCGGAGTGAGCCAAATCGCCGTGGATGGTTCCCATTCAAGTCGACGACATCATCCGTCACCCTCAGCTGCCGGTCAGCTTCATCTTCAGGAGTCGGCGGGATGACGTTATGGACCGGAGGTTTCGGTGGCGGACGAGGGTTCCTCAAAGGTGAATCGACATGGCTGGAATCCTGAGGCAGAAGGTTTTCAGGCGTTCGTGGATCCCTCCGTCGCTGACAATCATCCGGCTGAGGCGCCCGGGGTTCGAGTGCAGATCGCACAGGCTGGTCGACAAGTAGGAGAGATTCATTATTGTGAGGAAAGAAAGTAACTGTCCTCGCCTCCTTGATTTCAATCAACCCTGGCGACGATGACGCGACTGAGGCTGGCGTGAAGAGAATGGAAGGCGGGCGTAGGTGGGTCATGTCTTCAACGCCGATCCAGATGGATTGTGTCTTCGGAGCATCAGTGACATCCCAGTGGCCGGCACTCATGGTAAGGTTGTCAAGCTTTGGTTCGGGCCGTTCAATAGGGGCCTTATCCATCTCACGATCCTTGAGAATGTCCTGATTTTGATGGCTCTCGGAGGCGAAGGACGGACGCCGTGAGCTGCCTCTACTTGTGGGCGCCGACAACGATGAACTGCGGGGCGGAATCACCGGCCGACCGATGTTGCGACCTCTGAGATCTGACGCTGGGGTAGCAGTAGCGATTGAGTCGGAAAATGTCCGCTTCTTCTGACGGGTAAGGTCGAGAGATGGCGGTCTACTCTTCCGTGAAGACTCAGGTCGCTGACTGGATCGCCGGGAACCAGCCTTGGATGGATTCCTGCTGACAGATTGAGACGAATGAAGAGAAGAGCGTCGCTCAGGAATCACGACTACAGGGACAACCTCAATAGGTCTAGGAGGACCGCCCGGTGTGGCACTGACTGGAGCAGAGATTTCAGAAGCAATGCTCTTGCGCACTTGTTCTGTGATCCGAGCAGCTTTGTGGACTAGGCGGTGCTGAGAGCCCGGATTGGAAACAAGCGATGTACGTTCCGACTTGGTCGAGGGCGAGCTGACGGAGCGTAGAGACTGCCTCTTTTCCGTATGCCGCAGTGTTCGGTTGGCCGGTCGCGGAGCGTCAATGATCATAGCTTCAATTGTCGACGATGTCGACACACCGGAATATCGCCGGAAATCCTCTTCAGCGGGGGGCCACCCTATCTCCTCGCGAAATTGTTCCAGGGAAGGGCTTGCCATGCTATTTTGAGCATCTTTAAGCCGGTCACGCAGCTTCCTTCCACGTATTGGAGGGAGATCCTCATCGTTCCCGTCCAAAACAGATCTGTCACGGGATATCTCTGTTCTGATTCTTGGACGACGGTCAGAGGACGCCGCTCGTTCCTCGTCGCAACCATCATACGAGTCAACTCTGGTGGGCCTCAGCGTCTCGTCGGACTGGGACCTATCATCTCCAAAACTGGCATCACTGGAACCACGTGGACTCGCGCTCTGAGACGATCTCTGCTTATAGGGTTTGCGCTTTTTCTGATGTTGCAATGACGGGGTCGAACGATGCGGCGTCACTGTTTCGCCATCCGAAATCATCTCGCGGGCAGTTTGAAAAGACTCGGCTCTAGAGGACGCTGACGTGTGCCCAAACTGACTGAGACTTGGTCGATATGTCGATGAAGTTGTGCGAGGGGGCGTTGTCTCCGGAGTGGGGGGATGGGACGGTTTGGTCGGCGTCATCGCACCACGGATATAGTTGACAGAATGCGAAGAGGCAGTTTTTTGCATGCCTGACATGCCTGACGCGTCATTCGACGATGCTTCTTCGTGGCCAGCGCTGGGTGKAGTTAAAGGAAGAGCCGGGGCGGTTGCGATCGGAACTGCTCCGGAAGTATGGTCGCCATTGTTTGAAGAGGCTGAGTGCGCGAGATCAGGATCCGAGGGCACTTCAACTCTCCGAGGCAGGGACTTGCAAGATCTGAAGAGAGACCGTTCGGGAACCGATTCTGGGGACTCCACAGAGGCACCAGTGGTTTCAACGCCAGGCATCTTGAACCTCGAATTCACCGCCAATTGCCACGACGAGCTGAACCGATATTGTCACCGTAGGTCGACAGATTCACTGTGAGTGATGATTTACCAAGGACATATCACTGGATAGTCAGATGGAGGCGATGAACGGAAGCCACATAGCGAAGAGAGGCGAGAGAGAAGGGACAGTATCAGTGGAATTGTCTAGCCCCGGCAGGTGAAGGAGATAACTGGCTGATTAGTTTGCCCTTTATTTGCTTTTTATTTTTTTGGTTTTTGTCGCCAGGCGAACAAACCAATATGCTCAGTAAAAGCGAAGAGAAAAATGGCCGGACGCGCCACGAAACGAAGAGGCTGCAAGGGATCAGACACGCAGGCGTAACCGTCCAAGCAATGTTGGCCCGCGGTTGTAGCGAAACAACAGCCGATGAGCCAAACCCAACACACCAAGCAATCAAGGTTAGAAATCAGGGGTCAGCGAATAATAAGATGGGGATAAAAATAAGATACGATGACAGTGCATCTACTTTGATACGGCTAGGAATCAGCAAGTGTCAGGCAAGGGCGACAGACATGAGGGGAGACGTGGAAGATCCCGAGTGATGCAGATACAAGGCAACAGAGTGGGCTCGAGGATAAGGTAGATAGATAGACTCATTCCACGTTGCGGAGCTAGAATGTGGGTTTGACTGGCATGAATGTGGCCCAGTTAGATGCGCTCAACGTACTCCTGACTTCCTCAGATAATGCAAATTTTTGGGATTTTGGGCCCAGGTGTGAAGATTTGGGTTTCTATCGAAACTAACAAAGATACCAGGTAGACAGATAGAGGAGAAAAGAGGGGATTCCCACTAAGGATGCTACCTAGTACCTCTCTAGAGTATTGGGCCAATGGTCTTCCTTTTCAGTGCCTCCAATGAATGTGCATCGTCTGGGCTCTTCTTTTGTCACGAAATCTGTTCTTTATTCTATTATTCTGTGAATTCATAACCATGGTGATACTCAAAGTGCTTTGAAAAGGTGATAATACTAGGAGAGGTACTATCTACGCCATATCCACAAATTGATGCCTGAAACATATCCTGTACCACAATGCAGGGTATCAATAATATAACGTATCACTCAAGTGTGAGCCTCTTTTCTCAGACAAAAGATATTTGAAGCCTCTGAGGGATAATTCTCCTCTTGATGAGCAAAAATATCATCTATGTTGTTAAAGGATTATTTCTTTCATAATGACGGGATTGTGTAGTTTTGTCCTCTTCTGCTCCAGTGCTACCAGACTACAACTTGTTGCAGCCTTGCAGAGTTGCAGTCCAAAACAAGGACCTAATGGGGCAAACAAGCAAATAACGAAGGCAAAAGAAGCCAAGTTTGAAGCCCATGAAACCGGATGCAATCCATGGTATCCTTTGAGAACCCCAAGGCCACTTCTTGGAAAGTGCTTCATGTACCAGACTTTTGTATGTCCCTTGTAGCGCTGTCTGAAGAAATAAAAGAGACATTGTGGCAATGACGATTAATGACGATGAGAACTCCACTGCTACTGTTTCATAACAACTATAACATCTAGGCTAGGTACTAGAGAGGTAGAACAGTCCTAAACTACCTAAAGCAAGAGTGAATCAAGAGTTTCAGCCTCTTGAACCTAACTGTCAATGTTTCTTTAACTTTCTGGTTTGTTGAAGCAACAAATGGCGGCTCTGAGAGAAAGCTTCGGATAGATAGATCGATATGTAATGGATAGAAGACATCTATTGGCGATAACCCTGATTACATCCAGAATTCTCCAGCTGCAGTAACATGCTCATGGATCATGGATGCTACCTACTGCTAGTGATAGTAGTAGTGAAGCCATGACATCGGGTCCGAAGATCCCTCGACGTCATACGACGCCTCTTCTTTGGCTCTGCAGAGCCAAAGACAGACACAGAGCAATCAATACAATGCATGCGAGGAGTAATGATGACGATGATTTTCCGATCCCCAAATGCAATGCCCAAATTCCCAATTCCCAATTCCCAAGTTCCCAAGTTCCCAAGTTCCCAAGAATCCCCCAGGATCCACTGACTTCATACGGTGATACTGTCAAGTTCCCTTCAACACCCCGCCTCTATGTCACATAATGATCTCTAGATAACTACCCACTAGTTAGCCACAGGGTAACTGCCTTATTATATATCCAGAGAGAGAAAACTAGAGTGATGGCAAAGGTAGTCTCTGGGTAAATTCACATTCAAAGGATTGTTACCTAGCGTCACCGTCCCAAACTTTGCCTTTTCTCCCCTTTCCCACTCCCATATTTTTGACATTTCAAGTCTTACTCTCTCAACAAATCACTTCTCTCGGGGGGTTCTACTACTTCGTTCTCGACTATCGAGTCTTCTTTAATCTTCAATCAGTATCCCTGGTGGTGTTTCATCGATCCACTTCCTCGAATCTATCCGACTCGAAAAAAATTCCCATTGTGGCGGGGTAAACACTAACCAGAGACCAAGAGAGAAAAACGAACTATTTATCAGCATCATCATCATCATCGTCATCGGCTGCTCCCACCTTACCCTATCCTATCTAACTCTCATCTTTTTCCTTAGCTTTTCCTCTTCCTCTTCCCATTTCCTCTCTCTCCCTTCTCCTCTCTTCCTCCCCTTCTTATCCCTTACCTTTCGCCCATTGTTGTACTCTACAAACTCCCAGCCGCCACCATGAGTACCATTCAAAATCTCAAAAATTTCATACGTCATGGCAAGCAGGCTCGCATTGTCACTCCCCACGCCGAACCCACCACCGACGTTTCCCCTGTTCACGCAGAACAACAACGTCAACCACAGGGCTCATATCCTCCTGCTGCTGGAAATCTCGATGCCATCGATAGCAAATTGGGCCATGCGCACACTCATCAGCAACAAACAGAACCCCCGCAGTCGCAACCTCAGAAGTCTCCCGAAAACAAGCAAGCCAGAACTGCCGAGATTGAACAGATTGTCGCAGAGGAACGGAGTAGCAGGTCAAAAATGCCTAAATACCCTGGCCTCGAGCGATATATCTTACTGGAGAAGATGGGCGACGGTGCCTTTAGCAACGTTTACCGTGCAAAGGATACCACGGGCGAGCATGATGAGGTGGCCATCAAAGTGGTGCGGAAGTTCGAAATGAACAGCCATCAGGTAGGGAATCGGCCCTGAATCTTTTCCTTTGTTCTAGCGTGTGCTTGCTTTTCTAGCTTTTCTGTTATTTCTTGTTTCTTGCGTTTGCGCTTTGCGCTATTTCATCGCTCTATTCAAAAGACATCTCGCCAATCTCTCTTCTTCTTTTAGCATGACGCCCATCTTCATCCAGATTTCAGGAAGAAGCCAAAAGCCGCGGAGGTGCGCAATCCACACATCAAATTCCTATCCCCTTTCTCAAATCCTACTCCCGGCACCTTTCCTTTTCCTTACCATGGCCTCTTCCCTTTACACCTTCCTTCCTTTGATCTCCCAACCTCGGAACGATTGGTAGCGAGATATGCTAATTTCTGCTGCAGCGCGCGAACATTTTGAAGGAGGTCCAGATCATGCGACAACTCGATCATCCGAATATTGTCAAACTGATCGAATTCTCCGAGTCGCGCCAGTACTATTATATCGTTCTGGAACTGTGTCCAGGGGGCGAACTGTTCCATCAGATTGTGCGCTTGACCTATTTCAGTGAAGACCTCAGCCGTCACGTTATCGTCCAGGTCGCCAAAGCTATCGAGTACCTTCATGAGACTTCGGGTGTTGTTCACCGGTACGTTTCATCAAATTGTGATCTTTCTTTTGTCACAGCAAGTAACTGATCCTGTCTTTTCTCTAGTGATATCAAGCCCGAAAACCTCCTGTTCTACCCCATACCCTTCGTGCCGAGTAAGAACCCAAGGCCTGTCCAGCCCGGAGATGAGGAGAAGGTGGATGAAGGCGAATTCATTCCCGGCGTTGGAGCCGGTGGGATAGGCACTATCAAAATTGCCGACTTTGGGTTGTCCAAAGTCATCTGGGATAGTCAGACTATGACCCCCTGTGGCACCGTCGGCTACACGGCGCCGGAGATCGTCAAGGACGAACGGTATTCCAAGAGCGTCGACATGTGGGCCCTTGGCTGTGTGCTCTACACCCTTCTGTGTGGTTTTCCTCCGTTCTATGACGAAAGCATCCAGGTTCTCACCGAGAAGGTTGCGCGGGGCCAGTACACCTTCTTGTCGCCATGGTGGGATGACATCTCCAAATCGGCTCAGGATCTCATCTCGCACCTTCTGACCGTCGACCCCGAGAAGCGGTATAGTATCAAGGAGTTCCTCGCTCATCCGTGGATCCGTCAGACAGATGAAGCGACCGAAGCAGCCGATGATGCGCCCCCGCTTGCCACACCACTCGCTAGTCGTCAAGTCAAGCAACAACCCCTGGATGCGCAAGCAGCCGATCAGGCACCTTACGCGCCTGTAAGTGCCCGGCTACTGGGTCCCGCTTCCGCAGGTTTAGATCGTCCCATAGATTTCCGGTCCCCTGGTGCGATCAACCTGCGTGAGGTGTTCGATGTCGGTTACGCGGTACATCGGCAGGAAGAGGAAGGTAAACGGCGCAAGAATTTCCGGCAAGGATATCGGGGTGCCAATCCGACCACCGGGTTCCAGTCGGCTCTTAACCCCCTGAACGAGGACTACGACGACGAAGAGGATGACATCACATTACAACGCGTCCAGAATGACGCATACCCTCCGGCGAAGATTCCCAAAGCCTCTCAGCACGCGGGAGATGTTGCAGCTATGGAAGCCAAATTACGGTCAACGAACTTGGGAGGAGCCCCCAGTCACGCTGCTCAAGCTAGACAGCCGCCTCAGTCTCGACAGCAGCAGGGTTATGGCACACATAGCGCGAACGTTGCGGCAGCCGCAAAGCAGAGTATCGGCCTGAACTCGCGGCAACCGTTCGAGCTGAGCCTCAGCAATGCGACTCTCTTAGAAAAGAGAGGCAGACGGCAACAGGATCAGGCTGTCGTCTAAGCCGTCCCACGGTTGCTTTCTGCTTCTTCCCTTTTTTTTTTCACTTCAACTGAATCCTGTCTAATGCTTTCTCGCCGTTACGATGGGAGTAATGGGTTCCACATAGTTTACATATCGCTCTGGCTTATGGCTTGCGCCAGGGTCATGGCTTTGCATCTGTTATGGATTTATGATAGTCATCTCTCCGTTCTGTTTGCGTTGGACTGGAAGCATACATGTACCGTCCGCTGGCTGGCTGTTCATTGCTTTTTTTTTTTTTTTCCTTTTTCCCTTTTTTTCCTTTTTCCCTTTTTTTCCTTTTTCCCTTTTTTACCTTTTTTCCTTTCTTTCTCACTCATGCATAGGAGAATCATGGGATTATGATAACAAATATCTCATGGCCAACTGCGTTGATCCCGATTTATTGCGATCCTTTTCCCTACACCATCGATACTCCCCTATCTCGACCGGTGGATATGGGCTTGCGTGCTTCTTGATTACTTTGTAGCTGCCCGTTCTACGCAAGTGTACACAAGTAGAATGTAAAGAGCCATATAGATATATCATATACGCAGAGGGAATAATGGCGATTACGACGTTCATCTGACGGCCAGCACAGTCATGAAACTATCCATATTTTTTATTCATATTTATCACTTGGTGATATCTACACTGAACACATCTCCGCTAAATACAGAGAGACGAGGCACTTATACCCACGGGGAAGGAAACTCGTCGGAATAAACAAAACAGCAGGGTATACATGTCCAAGCCCACCTCATCAAGCATGGCATCATCATGGGAGTATTGAATACTCCGTCTGGAGAAACCCCAGCGGTTGTAGTCTTTTTCTTTTTTCTCCTTTTTGCTTTCTTTTTCTTTCATGCTTCCAGTATGTCGGAATTTTCAAGCCCATGTTCTGGTTAGGATATCACAACCGCAACGGAGAAGAGAAGAGAGAAAGAAACTGCTTTATAGCGATTGCTTCCCCATCGTCTCGATAGGAAGACAGCACATGGCGACAAAGGACGCGAGGATCAGGCCACCAGCGGCGTAGATGGGGGAGTTGGGGTTCGAGCTCCCGCCGTAGATGGCGACGAGGGGCGCACAGAGCCCCGCAATGCGGTTCAGACAACTCGAGATACCCGTTCCGGTTCCGCGGCTGGGGGCGGGGAAGACCTCCGGGGTGTAGGCGTAGAGGACGCCGTACATGATGTTCTGGAAGAAGGCCTCGAGGCAGGTGCAGACGAGCTGGACGTTGGAGTTGGTGGAGGCGGTGAAGCAGAAGAGGAGGATGCCGGTGATAAGGGTCGAGATGACCATTGTGCCCTTGCGGCCGACGTACTTGATGTCGACGGTGTAGCAGGCCAGGACGGAGCCCGGGACGCCGACGATGGAGGTGATGGCGTAGTTGCGGTAGGTGATGTAGGTGGAGGCCTCGGTGGAGCCGCCGGCGTTCTTGATGTATTGGGGCAGGAAGGCGTTGAAGAGCGGGTAGCCCATTCCGATAGTGGTCCAGCAGAACCAGAGGATGACCGCTGTTGGGAGTCACGTTAGCTAAGGTTCTATGTAGACTCAGAGAGGAAATGGGGGCCCTACTGGTGAAACCGAGCTTCTTAGTCGCGAACAGGGGGCGGACGCGCTGCAGAGAGAACTTGGACAGGTATCTCTCGATGATTTCCTTGTTGCTGAGCGATTGCGGGACGTTCTCCTCGGGGTAACCGCCGATTTCATTGAGAATGTCCACGGTGAGCCAGGTCTTGGTCTTGTTCTTGTAGGCAATCCCGTGCACTGCAGCAACGGCTTCATCCTGGCGACCACGGGCGAGCAAGAACTTGGGGGACTCGTAGAGATGGAACAGGAAGAAGCGGCAGATAAACATGACAATGGTCAGGGCGCCCATGGTGAGCACGAAGTATCTCCAGCCCATATTGTTGTCTTTGCCGCAGCAGGCGACTCCGTCGCCGACTTTGTTGCAGGAGGGCAGGTTATCCGCACAGCTATAAGTCGGGATGAAGCCCCAGGCGATAAGACTAGAGGGTTGTTAGCTGATCTGTTAAGTTTATAGAACTCGACGGTTCGGGTCAACACCAACCTAGCGATAAGCTGACCAACAGGCCACCATACACTCAGCATGGTCAAGAGATTTCCGGAAGCAAAAGGCAGGAATTCCAAGAAAAGAGCTCCATCAACAGGCAGATTACCGCCGACACCGAGGCCCAGGCAGGCGAACAAAGCACAGACACTAGATTCGAGGTTATATCAGCCGCGAGCTCCGATCCCCGACTGCGGACAGAAAATAACGAATGAACATACCCAATCCATGTGGGACTACCGCCGGCAGCCAAACCAAAAGCACCACAAATAAAGAGGGTCAGGTTGAAGGCTGGTCGACGTCCGATGATATCTGATGCAATACCCCAGAAAGACGCACCCAGGCAAAGCCCTACGAACAAGGCAGTGGTTGTGAAACGAACGTGAGTGGAAGAAATGCCAAATTCAGAGGCGACCGGTGTTAATGTAAGGGCAACTCCCTAATCTGATCAGTGTCTGGGATTTAAAACACCGGCATTGACAATGTTCTTACCTGTAGCCAAAGGCTGCGAGACCAATTAGCGACGAATGGTCATATTAAAAGCGAGAGCGTCGAACTTACTTGTCTGCCAACCAACCGAACCCACAAAGACAGAACAATTCCCATTGATAACGACCCATGCCGATATCCTGAATTGCTCGGTTAATGACCTTTGATTTGCCTAGAACACGCCATCATTAGATCGAACAGTCCTAAATTAGAAAATGTGGCCCCGGTCTGAGATAAAAGACCGAGGAACCGGACAAACAGAAGCATCCAAGTCTCAATAGTCGTGGACAACAAGAACATACGGTCATAAGCGGTATTAAGCCCCGAGGCAGCAACATCAGACTCGATCTCAGCACGGAGAGCTTCAATAGTCAGATGGCTGCGCTCGTGGACGGAAGCGGCAAAGCCATTCTCCTGAGAAGGAGCCTTGTCCAGGCTGGAATCATCAGGTTTCACATTTGGACTGCCCTTCGTTTCCAGTGCTGGGCTTTCTGGGCGCGCATGCGATGGGGCACTGCTAATAGGAATGACGACACCATGGAAGGTGGTTTTGTCGTGGCTCCGGAACGGGTTGAAAAATGGCATGATGGCGGACGGGTCTGTGATGCTACTATAGGACGATTGGGGATTGGCGTGTGCTGGAAATGGTCTGGTTCGAGGTCGAATTTCCGTCACTCAACCTAGATCTACTGTCTCCTCGACTTTCGTTATTGGCGCAATCGGGAAAGGGACCGGTCACGGTTCTGTTCGGTAGACGGGCAAGGTCAACAAGGGTGGAATATCAGCGGTTTGTCGCTCAGGGCCAGAAAGAGGCGCAATGGCGGTCGAACACGAGGATATTCGTCCACGGGCTCTACTTCGGGAGGAAATCCTCAGAGGCCAGTCGCAAGGGACAATGATACGTGATACTCGACCGAAAACGGCACTGAGGGCGTATAGACGAGATTTCGTGGGTTTGTTGCTGCTGTTGCTGCTGATCCTACACCGTACAGCTGCAAGGCCAATATGCTGTTTTGTCACAGGCGTAAGGATTCGCCGTAGGATGTGAGGAGTGATATATAAACCAAGCGTAGATACTGAGACTCGACAATCTTAGAAAAGACCGTCTCACAGAGTGGAATTTGACGGCTTGTGAATGTAACACAACCACAGTCCTAAGGGAAATGTGGATAAGTTGAGCTGGGCAAGAGTCAACCGAGAGAAGCTGTAACGATCAGCTATCACCTTGGTTGCTCGTGACAGGGTAGACGAATGAGGGGGAGGTTGAAAGGAAAGCAAAACTGCAGAAGTTGGAGAGAGAGAAACAATGTCGTCGCAGATTAGTGGGCAACCCAGCATCTATATACGGGGGACTTCAACAGAGGCAACTGGAACATGTCCGCTGGTAGATCGGACAATCCAGGAAAGACGGGGAAACAAAGCCTCAAGGGGATAAAACCGACGGTCCCGCAGCCAACAATCCAATCAGAAGAAAGAAAATGCAATAATCATAATGAGCAGGATGCATTTTGATTGAGCGTTTCGCAAGGCAGTCCTCTGGTAGGTTGCAGCAGGCACACGGGAGGCTATCTACCCTAGGTATCGATGGGGCTGATGGGTCTGAACGTGGTTAGATTATTACCTACTGTGGTTTAATCTCGTAATATTACCTAAAGGTGTCATGCATCGTACCATGGCCAGGGAGCTGCCTCTCTCAAAAGACAGGCATTCGAGAATTGGTTTTCGGAATCATGCTACCTACACTCGCACTATTCCGTCCTATCTTTAAACAGGAAATGCATCGGAGCAAGATAAGACAGCTGCTGGATATGTCACTATCTAGACTAAACTGGAAAAAGTCTCCTTACCCAGGTCTCTGTAGGTAAGATACTGTATAACGCACCAGCCAAAAGCGACGACGTCTAAGCTCTCAGTGGCTGTGGTATAGTGAGGGTGTGGGGCAGCGGGGGTCTTTTTTCTTTTCCTTAACCGGCTGTGGAAAGCGGTGGGGACGACGGTCTGGTTAAAAGGAGTGGCTTGCCTCGGGCTGCTGATTGGAAGTTTCAACTAATCCTTTCATGGACTAGTCTGATTCCGTTGGTGTCTACCCTGTCAAAGTGCCAACCTTGCAAGGCGCATGAGATGGAAGACAGCAACCTCCTGAAGTTCCAAATTACATACCAGTAACTATGCTTGGAGTAGCCTGATAAGCACATATCACCTTCTCCTGCAGGGTAGATAACAGAGCATCCATGACTGTTCTCGTCGGGATGGCTGCATGTCAAGCAAGGAAGGGAAATGGGTGATACGAACCCCCCTCTCCCGATCCCGAGCCGTCAAGTGCTCATTTGTCCGAGAAATGCAGTGAGGGTATAAAGCCGGTCCTCTCAGCAGTGGCACTGACTCAAGGGCACGGGTACATAACTGATATCAAAGTAACCGGCTCTGACCGCCCCCA